CTCTTGCAAGCATATTGCGCAATCAAAGACTTCGTTTCTAACTATGCTTTGTGTTGAACTTCTTATACATTATGTGTTGGACTTCTTTTCGCTTATGCGTTGGACTTCGTTTCTAACTATGCTTTGTATTGGACTTTTTATGCGTTATGTGTTGGACTTCTTTTTGCTTATACGTTGGACTTCGTTTTTAACTATGTTTATGTGTTGGACTTCGTTTATATTTGCTAAAGACCTGCATTTTTATGAAATGCTTTGTGTTGGACTTCTTTTCGCTTATGTTGGTTTTGTATTTGCTAATGACATGATGTTTTCAATTATGCTTTGTAAGGAGAATTGGTAGGGAGATAGTTACGCTATTGAAGTGTACTCCCTGGTTTTAAAATTATGGATGTGCATTGGTTGGGTATTGGCCATGGTTGGATTTTACGATTTTAAATTTCAATAAACCATGAATTTGATTACACTCTTCCAATTTGCAGCTTCATAGTTATGTAAACAGTGGTTGTAAATCAGCTATACTCGACCATTTGAACAAAAGCGTTGCTACTTGTAGAGAGACATGTGAAGTTTACTGAAGGCCTCAACTTAAAAACTCGAAGTTAGACCCTTTATAAGGTACTAAAAAAAACATAATAATTTGTAGACACCCCATTTTTGACCGTCCTCAAGACTTGGACGTCACCGTTTGAACACTCGGTGATCATCCTTGTTTGTGTTCGTCTTGAGTTCCTGGAGGCCTCGGCTATGCGCCTTGCCTCCGGATCTCCCGGCTCGACTGTTTTGTGTCTGGTTTTGCACCAAAACTTGTGTTTCTGCTTTGGAGGGCAGGGAATGGCTTTTGGGCCATCCATACACGCCACCGGCCATGGCTTGAGGCAACCGGTTGTGTTTTGTTTCCATCGGCCAAATGTGATGGCCGGCCGGCCAGTTTGATTGCCGGTCGGCCAGTTTGATGGCCGGTCGGCTAAGTGTGATTTTCAACAGATATCTCTATAGACAGCTGGCAGTTGTTATTCTAGGCCATACCTCAGCCCATACATGGACGTGGGTGTTCTGAGGAGTTGCAGATTGATATATATCTATATCAATCAAGCGCTCTCTCTCAAAAAAAAAAAAAAAAAGAGAACAAAGAGAAGGAGTTAGACAACTTAGACAACTTTTTTTAGAGCTTGAGCTTTAGGGTTAGGGTTTACATATATCCTCTATCTCTATATCTCTCTCTCTCTAGTTTTTAGTGTGTTTTTTAGTCTTACTTTTGTGCACAAACACCCACCATCACACCTCTTCTTAGTGGCTGAGGTACCAGAGGTCTTTCCTTGAAGCTTTTGGACTGGTTTGGAACCAAAAGAGCTGCTGGAACATTGTTCGTGAAGAGGGTCTACAAGGGTAAGACTTTTGTCCCTTTTTACCCCCATTTTTGCAAAGCTTTTTAGCCTATCTTGCATCTATTTTTGAGCTTAGCATATAACATATAAAAGTCTTGTTTTTGTCTGCTCTAAATAGTTTGTTGAGGGTGTTTTAAGCTTTAGGGTTGTTTGACCCCTCTTAAGGCTTGTTTGGCCTTTGTTTTGTGCCATTTTGGTTGAGCTCCGGGACCATTGTGTTTGGGCCTCCTCACCACTGAAATCTTGAGGGATTTCAGAGGTGAGGATGGTGCCTTGAGGTCCTAGGAAGGAGAGGGCCACCCCCTCTTCTTGTTGTCCTTGAAAAGGGCTATTTTTGCCTCTTGAGGGAGCATCTAGTTTAAGTGTGTGTTGACCATACCTTAACTGATTTTTGTGCTTATTATGTCATAATATAGCTCTGTTTTCAATTGGTTTAGGTACACCATGCTTGCTTAGCATACATGCCTTGTAATGCCATGTTTAGGCCTTATCATGCTTTAGGTTTTTACCCTTATTTTAGCATGATTTTGGCCAAGCTCTGTGAAGCTTTTGTGTTGATTTTAGCATGCTTAAGCTCTAGTTTTAGTTTTTTTGGTCGACCATCACATGCTTAGTATAGCTACCTTGCATTTTGGCTTGTTAGCGTTGGGTGTGTGAGTATGTGGCATGCTTTACTTGCCTTGTTTCAGTGGTTTGATACTACTTATAGCATCATTTCAGTCCTTATGACATGCTTGTATGCTTGCCTTTGATGCCTCTTTGATGCCTTATGAGGTTGTGCCTTATGCTCCACGTTTGGTCATTGTGCATGCCCTTGAATTTAAGTCATTTAGATGCCATCTAAGTGGTCTTTAGGCTTTGTTTTAATATGTTAAAACTCTGTTTTGATCATTTAATTCATGCCATGTTTGGTTTTGCTAAGGGTTGTTCAATACCTCCTTAGCTTGCCTTAAGTACTTGGACCATTATTGCATGCTTGGCTTGTTTTGATTACTTGGTTTGGCACCTCTCTTTCATGCAATTTCAGAGCTTATGATACATGCCATATGTCCATGTTTGTCTTCCTTTAAGTATGCTTAAAGGTTGCTTATTTGATGTTCAAGTGTTAGCCTATTTGCATGCATGTGTGTGTGTGTATTGGCTATCATTTCCATAGCATTGGCCACTATTTTAGGCTTGTTTAAGGGCTGCCTAATTTAGTTTAAGTCCACCCCTTGGCATGTTGTTGCATGCTTAGCTTATGACATGTTGTTGCATGTTGAAATGATGTTGCATTTGGCATGTATTCTCCTCCTTGTTTTGGTTGCTTAACATGCCATATGTTTTGCATGCTTGTGTGTTGGCATTGTGCCTTGTATGCTCATTTAACTTGCATGCTTGTTATATGCCTTGCATGCTTCCCATATGCTCATGTTGCATGCCTAGTTAACATACTTAGGTTGCATTGCATTTGGATGCATTTTTCACCTCTTGACCAAGCCATGATAGAGGTTGAAAGCCCTTTTGTTTGCTTATTTGCATTACATTTCATTTAAAATCAAAGTGCATACTTGGTTTCTTGGGCCATCATGCATCGAAATGCGCGATTGATGGTCCGAGAATCGTGTCCCTTTGAGTCATAAACATGATAGGGGATATGTTGGTGCATACATTTGCTTGAAATACATTACCATGCCATGTTTTTCCCTCTGCTGCTGTCAAACCAGATTCTGCAGAAAGCTTTGGCCGGTCGGCTTCATAGAGTGCCGATCAACCATCAATGGATGGCCGATATCTCAACTAGTGGCCAGTGACCATTCATCATGGCCGGTGACCATTTGCCTCAGCCGGTGTTGTCCCACAGCATTCATGGCAGCAACCCTGAGATTTGTGCAGTCTTCAGAGGAGTATAGCAGGGCAAAGCAGAGGCAACTTGTGCATGGCAGTGGCTTTCCGAGCAGAGTTGAGCGCATATTGCTTTGGGCCCCTTTTCCCGAGGCTGTTTACTGCTTTCATTAAATTAGTTAATGTGTTAATTAATTAATTAGTCTGTAATATTTAATTAGCTTGTTAGTTAGTTAAATTGTATTATTCTTTCGGTCCCTCTGAGCGAGGGCGAATTTGTAATAAATGTGGGTGCGTGTGTGCACGTCTTCCAATCCCCCACTTCTTTCTCCCTTTTATTTATCTGCTTTGGTGATTAGCATTAGGGCATGTTTACTTTAGCATACCTTATGCTATGCATGCGTGCATCATTCATCAGTATTGCATGCACCGGACTCGGCGCATCATACTAACTGCATAAGTATTTCAAATCTAACTTGAATACATGCTACTTGTGCATTTTCACATGTCATTTATAGACTAGCCGAGCCTACTCTAGTGACATTCCGTATGCGTTGCATTAGGCATTTAAACATGGACTTGGATCATGCATGATTGCTAACATGTTCTTGTTTTGGCATGGGTACTCCGTAAGCATTTATGCTTTAGCATACCGCATGCGTGTGAGTGTTGCCATAATAGCATGATTACCATAAGGCTAGCTGCTTATGTGATATAACTGCTTGAATGCCTGTGGATGGAGGTTGAATTAACTAAATTGGGATAATGCATTAAAACTGTGAGTTTTAAGCCCACTAGATAGTGGCAAAACCATCTTTTCTAAAGCCCACTGAGGGTGGCAAAACTTGCATTTCAGCCTACTTGCGAGGGCAAACCATTTTCAAAAAAGTATGAAATGTTTTGTTCCAATTTAGGCAATTTGGTCTATACTTGTTTGCTGTGCGCATAACATAGTAATTCTAGGCTAATAACAAGAATAAGAACACATAATGTTTTCAAAAACGGATATCACGGTTAGTAGTAGGCCGAATCTCGATCGGGCGAGAGGGGGTGCTCATAGCTAACCTTCCCCAGTCGTACCCAAGCTCCCGAGCCGAGGCAACTTTGGTGATGACGGACACGTGGCCTTTGGCACCGAGTCAGGGTTTCCTAAATTCCCCCATAAAAAATATTTAGGTGGCGACTCTGTATCTGGCAAAGCAGTCCATGTTTGGCACTTCTTTTCTAAAAATCTGTTTTCTCAAAACGATTTGCTGGATTTCGACTCTTTGGTTCAGATTAAGAACCGTGACTATCTGAGAGTCCTGAACTGTAGTGAACCCAATATGAACAGAACGGGAGGACTCATCCTCTTGGGGCGTTCAGGGACGTCTACATAATTTAAGTTATTATTTTTGTATATTTTATTTGAACATTGTTCTTTGTATATGTCATTGCAATTTCTATATTGCTTATTCGTCAGGAAAAAAGGAAAAAAAAAAATTACTACAAGTTACACCCTTTGTAAGGTGGAAAAAAGAAAAAAAAAATAATTATTTGTTAACGTCTGTTGGGAAACTTCAAATAAATTTCTTCACGTTTTTCATGCATTGGTAATAGAACAACACTATACACTAGAAGGTCTCAGAAGGATGGCAAATGAACTTTCATGATTATTTCTTTCTTTTTTTTTATGTTATTGACAGCCTTTACAGTTGACCAAACTGTTTAATTTTTGCATGTTTAATTTTGGCAGAGTTGTAGTCTGTCATGTTCTGCTTCTGATTTTATTTGAAGTTATGTGATTTAGGCATGGAAAGCGACGATGACACTGATGCACGGATGCAGGAAATGTGTGATGATGTCGCGGCGCTCGCAATCGAGTGGCAGACTGAAATGAATAATAATTATGTTGAAGCGTACAGAATTGCCTCCGACTACTACAAGGCGCACGTGCTTAAAGTCCCATGTCGCATGTCCATCTTGACGGGGAGGGCATGGATTTTGGAAATGTATAATGGACATAGTGGCAGATTTCGCTATGAAATGCGCATGCCCAAAGTCGTTTTCACCCGTTTATGTGCCACACTAGTGAACGACTTCGGGTTGCATGTACTTGAGCGGGACCACGGCTTGCATGTTGAGGAGAGTGTTGCAATCTTCATTCATGTTTTGAAAAACTTGCCTAACCGCGAGCTTCAAGAACGATTCCAACACTCCGGTGAAACAATATCACGCCATTTTCATAATGTTTTGAAAGCAATGAAAAAGTTTACCGTTGCGCACTGTCGGCTGCCCACAGATTTCCAAAACAGTAGGGATCCCTACCTGCAGACCCATCCACAATACTTGCCGTTTAAGGTGCGAAAAAAATGCAACACTCTGAGTTTTTTTTTTTTTTAAATTCTACAAAGATGTCACTTAAAAAATGCGAGGGTATAATGCATAACTTCATGGTACTATTACGTTTCTTACTTCTTCGAATTGTATAGGATTGTTTAGGTGCCTTGGATGGGACACCCGTGCCAGCGTGCATAAAGGAGTCGGAAGCAGCCCCGTATTTTAGCCGAAAGGTTGCCACACTCAAAATATTTTGGCAGTGTGTGATTTCAATATGTGTTTCATCTTTGTGTCATGTGGTTGGGAGGGTAACATGCATGACAGCCGGATTTTAAACATTGTTACCGAGGATCCGCAATATAATTTTCCAACTGCAGTGGATGGTACGTACGACCAATTCATTTGTTCAAAGCCATAACTTGTTAAATTTGTTTGCCCACACGTGAAACAAATATGTATTAATATGTACACATTCACAGGTCGCTATTATCTAGTGGATAGTGGATACAGTAATAAGAAGGGATTTCTTGCACCATATAAGGGCAGCCACTATCACCAACCACACTTTCAACGTCAAAAGCCGAGGAATCGTGATGAGTTGTTCAACCGTGCCCACACTTCATTGCAGAGTGTGATTGAGCGAACATTTGGTGCTTGGAAGTCGCGGTGGAGATTCTTGCACAACATGCCTCGGTTTGACTTTCGTACAGTGCTAGTGCCGTTGGTGGCTGCATCTATGGCATTACACAATTTCATACGCAGAAACTGCGAGGATGATGCGACCATTGCTGCTGTTAGAAATGCGGCGAGTACACGTATGACGATATTCCTGATCGCGCAGATTTGGCTGGCCTAGACGAAGCCGTCGTGTCTACGGATGAGGACGTTGAAATGGCAGAGGTGCGTCATCGGATAAGGGTAGAGTTATACCAAATTCGGCGCAATGGTAGGTAGAATGATATGTTGTTTACCATGATTGCGTTTTACTGTTTTCCGTAGTATGTGTTTTGTGAAAACCGTTAGTAATGTCTTGTTTTGTAATTTTTTATGCATAACGTACTCGGTAGTTTACTTATTTTAAGATGTCGTACGAATTTCAAAAAAAAACTTTCGAAATTGTCGTAGCGTGACTATAGTTAATGGAAAATCCCTATTTCACGACTTGTCGTAATGAATTTCGTCACACATATTACATTCATTAACTGTAAAAGGCTGTAATTGTGCCCAATTACACCACGTAAAAAACATGGCACAAAATTTTCTTCAACCAACAGAAACTGAAAAATCAGTATTTCAGAAATAAGATAAAAAAAAGGGAGATGTATTTGAAAAGTCTGTAAATAAACATAATTTCAATATTGCAAATTGACAATAATTTCAATTTTATTTCCAAAGTTTTCATCTATAAAAAGGGTGAATGTTATTCATTACGAAATTTGTTTTCGAAAATGTCGTGGACAGCAAAGAAAATTACCATGTGTGTGGACCGTACAGTTATGTCAAATTTTTGAAAAAAAAAATTGAGAATTTACCAATTTAAATAAATTGAGAATTTTTTTAAAGATTTTATCCGTGTGTGGTTTGGTTTTGGGAGATAAATTTATAAAAAATGAAAAAAAAAAAATTTCGGGAAAGCATTTACAAATTTTTTTTTGTTTGATTGGTTGTATATTGTGGAAATAGTTTTTGAGTGTGGGAATTTAAAAAGATTGTATATTAGTCTGTACTTGACTGGATGTGTGTGGGAGACAAAAGTGATTCAGAAGAAAAGCGGAGGACAAAAAAAAAGTGATTGATTTATGTGTAAGAGATAGAAAATGATTTTGATTTTTTTTTCAAAACCACTAAACCAAATAATATTTTTAGATTGTTTCCTGTACATCTGTTTTCCAACTTTGAACCAAACAAGGCCTACATGTTGCATATGTGTTGGCGTCAAAATCCTGAAAAAAAAAATAATAATTAATTAATTAATTAATTACCAATGCATCACAACACAAACCATGAATCTGATTTTGCAATGACATGTATGTGGCCACGTGTGGTACGTTGGCATTGCTTTCACAGCAATCACAAAATGTGTACAATAGTTGTACATTGCTATATATATATATAAAAATAAAATTAAATATTTGTCAAAAGTTCCAACGGGCAGCTAGAACGGGCAGCACGTCTGCACCTGTCTCGATTTACTACACTTCGAATTCCGTGCAAGGGCAAAAATGTCAAGTTCCAAACTTTCATTTTTTGTATATTATTTCTTTACATATTTTTTTGTAAAAAGCCAAAAAGTTCATCCCAAACAACTTAGTTTTTTTTAGCTCATATTTTAGCCAATTAGTCAAAAAGTTACTAAATTAGCCTGTTCCCAAACGAGGCCTAAGTATAGAATTAGGGTTACACGGAAGCACATGGAAATTACGAAAATACCCAAACCCCCCATTAGACCCAGTGTTTTTGAATGAACAGTACTTATTAGGGTCCATCGACCCAACAATTCCTTCAATTTTCTCGGTGTGAAAACAAAAGACATCAACTTTTTCCCATATAGGAGTTCTTTTCACCTTGTGAATTGCTTAGCAAAGAAATGACAAAGTTTGATTTCACACCAAGGTTTAAAAATGCGGTGTTACGTAACGGTTTCGGTCATTACGTAACGGTTGCGGCAATAGGCACCACGCGTTACCCCCGATTTTGTGGTGTGATTGAAATTCACAGGTATATCGGCCGTTACGGTCATCGTAGCGGTCGTAACGGTGTTGTAACGGCCGTAACGGCCCATTACGCACGTTACAGGGCTTTTTTAGTTGATTCTTTTAAAAAAAACATAAACAAAATAAAAGGCTGAAGATGTTGTACATACCTTTATTATAATTGAGCTTTTGTCTTTCGTCTTTACAGCCTGTCAACCACCTTGAAGTGAGATTCCATAGGTGTATCGGCCATCCACAAATTTTCATATCTGAAATACGGATGAGTAAGAAATAGAGAGAGAGAGAAGAGAGAAGAGGGAAGATGGAAGAGGGAAGAGATGAACCTGTGTTGAATCTTCAAGGCTGCCTTTGTTTTGTGTTAAAACCAGTGACTCTCCAGTTGCCCCTTTGTGTTGAAGACGAAGTAAGTGCATAGTTTGATCTGTTGCCTTTTTTTATTATTTTGTTTGTTCAGCTGCCTTTCTGGCTAGCTTCCTGGGGAAGATATATGTCATTTATTGACCTTGGGAAGATATATAGCATTTGTTTTTCTTTGTGTGTGGTCTCTAATTGGCAAATTTTTATTTTTTATTTTTTTAAACAATGATCTCTAGGCTTTAAATTTCGTAAAGCGTACAAAATTTATGTGATATATTTAGTAATTTTAATTTAAATATATATATATATATATATAGAGAGAGAGAGAGAGAGAGACTATGCACTTATTTTTATTTATATTTATATATAATATTAGTGATTGAATTTTTTTTATAATATCTAAAAATCATAACACCTAAATTATATTAATACATTTTATATATGCCAGTTTTTGTTGAATTTTTTTTCTTGCAGGTTATCAAAAAATAACAAATACTTAAGTGATTGAGCCCAAAAAACAATTATGCATGAATTTTTCTTTATAATTTATTTTTTAATTTTTATTGATTACATGATATGTAAACTTCAAATATATAAATAGTGATTGATTTTTTTATAATCATTTCATTTAATATTTAATTATAAATATTTTTTATTTTGTTATTGTAATGGGTTGTGACAACAATGTTGAAGTCACTATTTTTTTTTTAAAATATCTTTTTAAAGAAAAAAAAAATCAATTACCTCAAAAAAAATTCTTTATAATTTATTTTTTAATTTTTATTATGATTATATAGCATGTAAACTCCAAATGTATGAAATAGTGGTTGCATTTTTTTATAATCATTTCATTTAATATTAATTGTAAATATTTTTTATTTTGTTTTGTATGTTTACAAACAATGTTGAAGTCCTATTTTTTTAAAAAATATCTTTTAAAAAAAAAAAAATCAATACCTCAAAAAATTCTTTATTATTTATTTTTTAATTTTTATATGATTATATTAGCATGTAAACTCCAAAATGATAAATAGTGGATGCATATTTTTTTTTATAATCATTTCATTTAATATTTAATTATAAATTTTTTTATTTTGTTATTACAACACTGTTTAAAGGCACAATTTTATTTTAAAAATATTTTTTTTAAA